AACCTGGGACCCTTCAGTTCGCAGGCCGACGCTCTATCCACTGAGCCAAACTGGTTAGGGCTATTGTATTATTTTCCATATGAATAACTGTAGACCCACTTTTGCCCTGCCCTGTAGTCTTCCATCCTTCGGACTTCCTTTATTTAACCAGTTCTGCAGTCATTTCCAACTTTCCTCTATTGTAAACTAGGACAAAACAGGAATAATTGCTGTGTGCGACATACAAGTTAAATTGCAACCAAAGTAGAAAAACATTTTCCAATTCTGAATTAAGGCCCCATCTTTCTCTGCAGGAAAACGAGGAGAGAAGGGTGACCGGGGGGACGTGGGCCGTGGGCACCCCGGGATGCCTGGGCCCCCGGGGATCCCAGGTAAGACCTTGGCCCTGCCCAGCAGCAGTTCTATCCTTCAGCTCTGGGATTAGTGACCCACAGACAACTGGTCTCTTCCGGGGAGAACTCATGCTCAGCCAACTCAGTGCCAAGCCCCAGCTCTTGCATCCCATTGGCGCACCCAGGAGCCTCAGGCTGGGGTCTGGCTGGGAACTGGACAGCTGAGGACTTCCTGGGTTGTACCAAAATCTGCTTCATGGAGGGAAAGGAAGGGCATGTGCTCCTGAGATTCACTGTTTGGGGGCTGGGATTAATGGACAGGCACATGTGACTCTCTCAACCTATGTGTCTGGGGCAGAGCTCCTTCTTCGTGTGGTGTCCTTGGCTTCATTTTCCCCATCTGAAAAAATGACCAGTTCTAGAGCCAAGACAGGAGCAAGCCCTGATGTCTTGACCTTCTCCCATTCACAGGACTCCCTGGCCGGCCTGGCCAGGCAATCAATGGCAAAGATGGAGACCGAGGGTCCCCAGGAGCCCCGGGAGAGGCAGGCCGGCCTGGCCTGCCAGGCCCTGTGGGGCTGCCAGGGTTCTGTGAGCCTGCAGCCTGCCTTGGAGCCTCAGCCTACGCCTCTGCACGCCTCACAGAGCCTGGATCCATCAAGGGCCCATGAGCAGCAGGCCAGGACAGAGCCCAGCAGGCATCCTGGGGGGAAGAATAGGTCCCCTCTGGATAGACATGCAACCCATCCCTCAGCCCAGGAAACTAGCCTTCCTAGGACCTCTCTCTGGGACCCAGGAAGGAGTCTTGAGGAAAAGAAAATTCTAAAACATGAGGGAAGGGGAGGGCATTGGAGTGAAAAGGTGAGGCCAAAGGACAGGGCAAGTGTCCCTGGAGAGTCCAAGCTCCACAGAGGATGGGGTGGCTTCCCTTCCTGGAGCATAATTCAGATGTTACCAAAACAAGCAGCTCCTTAATTTGCGCCATCCTCCACTGGCCATCTTGTCCCTGGGGCAGGTGAACTGAGGTCTCCGCTGGTTCCTGACCCATTTTATCCCCTGGGCTTCCTGGGTGACTGCCGATAGGTGGCCATCCTTAAGCCATCCCTACTCATTCCTCCCTGCCTCCCTCCTGAGTATTTAAACACCCCCTCCCTTCTTTCTGGCATCACCGTCTCCCATCCTCCCTCCCCTCGATCCATACCGGCCCTTCTGTAAATAAAAGCCCACAACTTGGGTACAAACCAGGATGTGAGTTGTTGGGCTTAATTTCTCATGGATTGGGGCTGGGCCACCGCTGCCTGGGCAGGATGGGCAGGGGCTCCACTCCAGAAAGGGAGGGCAGAGGGTGGGGTTCCTTCACCTGGGCACATCCCGAATTGTGAGCGTTAGGATGGCACCCCATGCTTGAGGGACATCTGATGGAAGAACCTGGGGATGGTCAGGACGGTGACCTGCTGTGTAATTTTGAGCAAATCCCTTCCCAGCCTTTGTACAGCTGGGACAAGGACTCAGCCAGGTGTTATTGGTCCCAGGAGAGCAGCGGTTTTCAGCTGGTGTGCTGTAAGAATGTTTAAAACATGCAATACCTGGCTACTTAGTTCAGGGGCACTACCTCTTTTCCTTTAGATTGTCAAATTAAAAAATGACAACAGCCAACACAACAGCTGCCTGGTGTGACCCTGTCTTAAACCATAAATATACGTCATATAATAGAGTTGCATCTTATTGGTCATGTGTACGTGATTGGTTAATTCTTGGTACCAGAAATCCTCATATACAAGTAAGTCCCTTGATTTTTTAAAAAGTCACTTTGGAGCAAAAAGAGTAGGTAATTACTATTATTATTTTGTAGATCAATCAAAATTATACCATTTTGGTCAGATTGGCAAAAATACATTTTTGATGTGCCACAGAATTTTATTAATAAGTTTGTGTGTGCCATGAGATGAAAAAGGCTGAAAATCGTTGCAGCAGAGCATACCTGGTGTCTTGCCAGGGCCTGGCACACAGGAGGTCCTCTGTGTTTCCACACCTGCTGTGTGCTGGCCCTAGGACAGGATCTGGTAGCAAAATATTAGAAGACTTGGTTCTGACTTTCCAGGGGCTCCCAGGCCCATGAGAAAAGACCTGGACCTGCATGATGAGAGCAGAAGTGACAGTCCCACCATTTCCACTAAGGGGACGACGAGGGGAGATCTAACCTGTGCCCCTGGGGGCTCCCAGCCTCAGCTTTGTAGGCCAGCAAGGCTGCGCCAAGCAGCAGGAGCAGGGAAGGGGGTGGCAGGTGTCTCTGATGGAAGGTTTTGAAATTCAGGGAATAACCAATCCCTTTGCTCCGTTATTGATTTGGGCTTTTTGTTGCCCCAAATAAAACCTTCTGCAGCCCCAGACCCTTCTGGAGACACAGGACTCCAGACTGAGGTCTGCGCATTTTCTGAAGTCTGGGCCCTCCTCCATGTCACCTTAAACTTGGCTTGAAGTTCCCACCTATGCGAGAGCATTCTTTCCTCCTCTGGCCAACAGAGGCAGAGAACTCCGCTGACCAGCCCACCCTCTCCTCTCTCTCCCCGAGTTCCTACAATGGCCTGTAAGTCCCTGTAAAATCTGCTTCATCTCTACTCTTTGTCTCCTGTCTTCCCAGCATACTCCGTCCCAGCCACGCTGGTCGTCTGGTATTTCTCAAACACACCAGGCTCGCTCACACATCAAGGCCTTTACACTTGTTCCCTTCTTGGGACGCTCTTCCCTAAACATCTGCTTAGGTCGCCCACTCACTTCTCAGTTCTTTGTTCATTACCTTTGGCGATGTCTTTTTATGACCACCCTATTTAAAACTGCAATCCCACCACCACCATCACACACAAACACCTCAGGCCCTCGTTTCTCTCCAAGACATGTATCACCGTTTAATATCTATTTTATATATTTTGATTGTCCCCACTAGAATGTTAACTTCATGAGGTGGGATTTTTCTATTGTTCCTTTATTAATGTATTCCCCAGCACCTAGAGCAGAGCTTGTACAGAGTGGGGGCTCGATATTTGTTCACTAATAACAGATGGAGAAATGAAGGCTCAGTGAAGTTTCTTGCCCAAAGTCTCACTAGTACATGGTATGTTGGATTCTAGAGCCCTGGATCTTACCCTTAAGTTATACACCCCCTGTTTATCAACCATCATCCAGAGAGCCACAGGGGAGCTCTGATCCAAAGGCGGAGGCTGTCATTTGAGATTCTGGCTTCATCCTGCTCACTGGTGCGGCGGGTGGGGGCGGAGGGGAGTCCTGGTTTCACAGGTTTTTAGAACACACGGGGGTAACCCTAGCTGGTTTGGCTCAATGGAAAGAGCATCAGCCTGGGGACTGAAGGGTCCCGAGTTTGATTCTGGTCAAGAACATGTTACCTGGGTTGTAGGCAACCAATGTGTCTCTCTCACAATGTTTCTGTCTCTCTCTCTCCCCTTCCACTCTCTAAAAATCAATGGAAAAATATCCTCAGGTGAGATTAACAAAAGAAATACCTATATAGAACACATGGGGCTATCTTCCTATCTGACAAACTGTTTAGGAAATCCTCCTCCCTAGCAACCACCCTGGGTAGTATTGTCTGAACAGGGCTACGCCATGCCTCGATGGGTCATTTCTGCCTTCCCACCGAACTGTACTTAGCTTGACACACAAAGTTACTCATTCACACCATTGTGGTCTTGAATCAGAAGTTTTGGATATGAGTTCTCTGTAATTTTCTTTGTATAGCACCTAGGACAGAACTTAAGGCCCTCAAGTGGTACTGAGCTTTCTGCTAAGGATGACAGAACACTCAAAACAGTCAAAGCTACATAAAGTATACATGTACAAAAGAATCCAAAGGATTGATGAAAAAGGCCAAAGAAAGAAGGCTTCCTCAGGGAGAGAAATACTACATAAAGGATTGGGGTTGACAATGAGAATATAAAGGTAAAGGGCAAGGTGGGACCAACATTGGTACTAAAACCACTAAATCCCTGGGATTTTGCTCCTATCCTAAATAGAGGCAGAATTTACTAGCAGCTCTCAGACGTCAGTAAAGGCCAAGACAAAGGCAGCATACACACAGAGCTGACTCTGCCTTAAATTCAGAGCTGAGCCCCACTGAGGCCATGCTATTTTACCTGAGGCCTTGCTCTACTTCATTCTGCCCCTGCATACCCACCAAGGGATGCAAAGTGCCACCTCTTTCCCTCTTTGGTTGGCCTCCCTACTCCTTCCCCTAATTGGGCAAAACTCAGGAAGCTACCAGGATGCTCTGGCCTCCCCTATGCCTCTGCCATCCAGACGTTGTAGGTGACCAGATGAAAACAATTACATATTAATTATATACAATTAAGCTAATTACTGCTACATATAAGGAAGACCAAAGAGGCAGCTGAAGCAGACCAACACAGGCCCAGGACAACTGGAAGTCATGAAAGCGGAGAAGGAATGGTTCCGAATGACGCTTGAGAAAACACTGGTAAAAATTTGTAACGCTCTGACACACAAGTGCAGCAGGAGGTAGATTGTGAAGAGGCCTGTGTGAGTGAGGCATGGTGATGGCGGCAACATCACTCAGCATCAGGGCTGTTTCTTCGTGTCCTAGCAACTCAGTTCTCTAGGTAATAAACAAAGCTAGGTGACAAATGACGCACACATTTTGTCAAATCAAAGACAAAGTACATCAATCTGTAATTGGCAATTTTTAATGTTTCATTTGTGCAGAACTAAAATTTGTGTTTAAAGGCACAGAAGGGAGGAAAGGCAGTTAACACAGCATGGATCCACGACAAAGCTGGATAAAACCACAGGACTGCTCCTCTTTAGCCTTAGGGACATAAATAATGCTGTACTAAACTAGACAGCACTCAGTTATGAGCTGAGCAAAAGACTTTCTGGCCACATACCAAGGGTGCACAGTAGATCCCACTTTGGAATAAATGCCCAGAAGGTAAGCATTACCCGTGGGTGGCAGTTTAGCCACAAAGTTCTCATACAGGAAGTGTACAGAGATTTGAAGCAAACATGCAGCTTTTTAAACTTAAAGAGAATCTTTTGTGACATTTGTTTTAAAAAGGAAAAATTATCTGCATATCAAGAAGTGTAATTTTAAAAAATGCAACCAGGCTCGATTAAATAGTACTTACAACTTATTAATAAAAATTATAAAAATAAAAACCGAAACTCTTCTGCCCTTGAAAGAGATAGAAAACTATATATTTTCCTATAATATTATAAGAGAATCAGCATTTTTACCCTTACATCTCTTAAAATATTATTTCTCTTCTTTCCACATTCTATCATTTTAAAAATAGCAAAATCTGTTCAATATGGCAAATTCTGCCAAGTGAAAGGATATACCACCTATTGAATAAAAGAGTATGAATGAGGAAAAAGCTGAATGTTCTGAAAACAGATCCATTAGTTTACCGCTAGTGGATCTGATCATACTAACCAGGTGGAAGGAAAGATAAAGACTAAGATTTTCTTAAAAACAAAACTAAAACCCAATGATTCGAAACATTCTACACATAATTTCAAAGCACTATTGGAAATTCTTGATCAATGTGTAGCAAGAGAGGGAACAGAGAAATTTGGTAAAAAAATAGGGCATATTTCTAACCACTTTCATTTAAACAACATCAGCCTTACCAATTATCTTTCTTCCTCATTTAAAACACTGATTGGCCAGATTAAATCATAACAGCATGAAAGTAAAAATGAGTCTCAACTTGGGTATGAGCACAGTGCTTCGAAAGCAGTTTCTGTATTACAGATAGGACTCCGAGGTGGTGTGTCCTCTTTTAAATATATGCCCCCAAACACCTTACATGGCTCAAAAAACTTACAAGTTGATGGCCCTGGCCGGGTAGCTCAGTTGGTTAGAGCATCATCCCCACACGCCAAGGTTGCAGGTTTGATCCCCAGTCAGGGCACATACAAGAATCAACCAAGGAATGCGCAAATAACAACAAATCAGGGTTTCTTGCTCTCTCTCTAAAAATCCACTTAAGATTTTTTTCTACAAGTTGATGGTAAATTCAATGTTAAAGTACAAGCCTTAAAACTTCATCCAGTGTTTGCATTGAGAAATGGATTATTAAAATAATTTTTAAAATGGGATTAAATATATTTAAATCTGGACTTTTCTGTACTTAATAGTTTTCTTTAAAAAGAAAAGTTTAAAAACATCAAGAGCCGGAACATGCTGTCAGGACAGAAATAAGTAGAAATGCCGTCAGTTGCAGAAGCTGGGCAACTCAGTCTTGTTTAGAATTTTTCAAAGCTTGAAGTCTCTCTATTAGTGGAGGGTGGGAATAATGCCACATGGAAAATAGCCAGTCAGAAACAGGGAATCCCAAGTTATCTTTGTTTAGTTTGATTAAAGCAGAATATAAGTCTTTAGCCTTTCCAAGTTTCTTGGCAAATGCATCAGCTTGAAACTCAAATCTGCGGCTCAGCACTGTTAGGCAAAAAGAAAGAACCTGAAAAAATAAATAAAAGGGTTTTAACCACTGCCCACTTCTTTGTTGTCACTGAAGGTTTCAAGAGCTAAGACTGTAGAGGAAGTTCTGCTCAGGATAAGAGAAACAGCAGGCTCAAGAAAGATCACTAGTACTCAGGGAACCTAGGATGAGGGAATTATTATATATTGAGCTTTCCCCCCACCCCAAGCAAATATACCAGAAACAGATATATATCCAAATGATCCTTACCAAAAAATACTAATTTTTAAGAATCTGCTATTTGTCAGGCATTTTACATACTCCCCAACCATCTTGCTCCTGTTTTACAGGAAGGTGAAGCTCAGAGAGGTTGATAACTTGCTCGAGGTCACACAGCTAGAAGGTGGTAGTGCTGAAATTCTCAGTGACTCCAAAGCCCATGCACACCACCTTCCTCAGAGACAGAGTGAAGGCATGATCACTTATGTTCAGACTCCTTTTTTCTCTTTCTAAAAAAATACTCTTGATCATATATCTACTTTTAAAAGATAATGAGAATCTTTACTGAGAATATTCTAAAAAATATGCTACAGCTTCTAATAACAATCTCAAAATGGAATTTTCTAAAGTGTTCTGAGCTATGGAAGTGTTGTTAGAATATCCACTCTCCATAGGTGACAGCTATGAAGGGGACAAATTTCATCTGAAAATATAAATTTCTGAGGGAAAAATAACTTCTTTGTATACTGAAATGTTGCAGGTTGAATAACATGATATTTAAGATAGTTCTTAAAATACTTCAGCATTAAAACAAACAAAAGTCTAAAATGTCTCTCGTTTGTCCTCTTATTTCTACTAGCAAATGTAAGTTTCAAAGTAAAGTCTGGGAGTTCCTAATACATTCTAACACATGTTCAAAACCTAAAAACTGAATTCTGCCTGAAAATTTTTTCCAAATCTTTAACATACTCTTCGGGATAGAGTGTGTGTATTTGAATCTCACTGTAACACATAAATAAAGACATAAGCAGTTACTAATCTGCACCTATCTACTCTTACGTAGGTTTCCAAACTCTTCTTAATTGGGCAATTTTCCCCAGAAAAATCTCTTTCCTATCAATGACCTCTTAAACACTGACATTACAAATAAGATTTTTTGTTTAAATATCTAGTCTTTTTGAAACAAATCTTATGGGCCCTCCAAGGTTTTAAAAGTTGGTATCTTTGCCCTAGCCTGCGGACTGAAGGGTCCCGGGTTCGATTCCGGTCAAGGGCATGTACCTCGGTTGCAAGTTCAATCCCCGGCCCAGGCCCTGGTCAGGGCGCATGCAGGAGGCATCCAATCGATGTGTTTCTCTCACATTGATATTTCTCTCTGTCTTTCCCTCTCTCTTCCACTCTCTCTAAAAATCAATGGAGCCGAAACCGGTTTGGCTCAGTGGATGGAGCGTCGGCCTGCGGACTGAGGGGTCCCGGGTTCGATTCCAGTCAGGGGCATGTGCCTTGGTTGTGGGCACATCCCCAGTGGGAGATGTGCAGGAGGCGGCTGGTCGATGTTTCTCTCTCATCGATGTTTCTGGCTCTCTCTCTCTCTCCCTTCCTCTCTGTAGAAAATCAATAAAATATATTAAAAAAAAGTCAATGGAAAAATATCCTCTGGTGAGGATAAAAAAAAAAGTTGGTATCTTTGTCGATTAACCACTTCAAATTACTTTACTACCTCACATATTTATTTAGACATTTTTTGAAGTGAACTCAACTACTCAATTTAAGGAAACTAACAAAACAAAACCCCCTTGAGGAGCCCAATTAAATGCCACAAAGGATAACTACTAACACTACTTACAAGAGGACCTTTCTCCTCAGTTCCTTATACCTTCTAAGGTAAGTTCAAACCTAAAAACTGAATTCTGCCTGAAATTTATATATAGTAACTCTGACCTAATGGGAATGATTATCTGATTCCCCAGTCTATGGCAGGTTAAAGAACATTAGAAGGGAGAGTGACCATAATGGAAAGTCACATTGATAGCACCAAGGATTATTAGCCTGACTGTGAGGGAAGACAGGAAAAGTAAGTAAGTAAGTAAGTAAGTAAGTAAATAAATAAATAAATAAATAAATAAATAGCACAACTGCTGGAAAGGCAGGTGGCCTGGGCTCATCAGGACACACAGCTCAGTGTCCTAAGGCACCACAGAACTGGGATGGAAGACAGCAACGACAATGCCACCACCAGGCAGTCTGCCACCTCTAAGCAGTAACCAACTGTGTAAGGCATTTTATAAATACTTCCCATAAAACTTATGATCTCAGTTCTCTGGAACATTTGTTTACTTTATGTAGACAATGCTATATAAATATGATCTGTTCCTCTCTTTCTTTTCTGGTACCTTACTTACCCTGCTCCTCCTTTTTATGACGAAATAGAATTCATTTAGTTTATCTTAAAACCTTGAATCTACAACTTGTCCCAAGAAAGTATTCTTCTGAATGGAGAGATCTCAAGATCCCCAATGTTACTTCTTGGTTTAATTTGGAAGCCTTATCAAATATGACTTGTGTATCATCGGATTTGTTAATAGTCTCAGTAATCTTTGTCTAATATATATGGAGTCCCACTACGGAGCAATCACAGAGCAGTGGTTCTTAAGCTTCACTTATCATAAACTAGAGGCCAAGTGCATGAAATTCTGCACTGGTAGGGTACCTAGCAGCTGCTGGCCAGGTACTCCCCCGCCGCCACCTGTTGCCTGCCACCGCCCCCTGGTCAAACTCCCGGACAACCCTGGCTGAGAGGTACATGCCCTTGACCGGAATCGAACCTGGGACCTTTCAGTCCGAAGGCCGACGCTCTATCCACTGAGCCAAACCGGTTCCGGCAGAGCAGTAGTTCTTAAGCTTCACTTATCATAAACTAGAGGCCAAGTGCATGAAATTCTGCACTGGTAGGGTACCTAGCAGCTGCTGGCCAGGTACTCCCCCGCCGCCACCTGTTGCCTGCCACCGCCCCCTGGTCAAACTCCCGGACAACCCTGGCTGAGGGGACAATTTGCATACTAAGCTTTTATTATATGGGATTATCTAATTCTGATTTTGAGGGTGTGGAGTAGGACCCTAAGGCTATTTTGAAGCAGGTGGTTAGAGAGCACAATCATACAGCCTCCCTTATCTAGCCATATACCCCCAATTATTTGTTCTATCCCCTCAAACATGGATTTTCACCCAAGCATTGGTAAATATGTGGTTTAAGGCACAGCATTCCATCCACCAAGACTCTGAGATATAAGTTACATCAAGGTTTATACTACTAAAGTCTAATTCTCTACTTTTTCCCCTTAACTGTATGCAAGCTTTGTTTATTTGGGCTTGGGTTTTTCTGCTACTTTTTTAAACTGGCCAGGAAATCAAGGGACTAAAAGACTTTGCTTCATTTTCTTGTTAAAAACTATAGTTTTTGTGTGTTTTTTTACTACTCTAGGGGTTCTAGATTTGGAACAGGCAAGGGCATATGTGAGATAATTTTAAAGATTATACATTACCTCATTGTACGGTGAAAAAATAAACTGGAAGATGATCAATAGTCCAATTAGAGTGGGTTGGCTGTCAAAAAAACCAAATGCAGCAAAAAGCTCCTTTCGACCAATTAATGCAGCAAACAAGAAGAAACACAGGAAAGAATTCATCTAGAAAGGACACAAAATTTCTAAGTTATTACTAAGCTGATTTCACTGCAGTACCAAAAAGTGCAATAAGACATCATGGTGTGGCCCTAACCGGTTTGAGCGTCGGCCTGCGGACTGAAAGGTCCCAGGTTCGATTCCGGTCAAGGGCATGTACCTTGGTTGCAGGCACATCCCCAGTAGGGGGTGTGCAGGAGGCAGCTGATCGATGTTTCTCTCTCATCGATGTTTCTAACTCTCTATCCCTCTCCCTTCCTCTGTAAAAATAAAAATAGATAAAATATATTTAAAAAAAAATAAAGACATCATGGTGTGAATTTACGAATGGTGTTAGTGTGCCCTAGGCAGTTTGGCTCAGTGGCTAGAGTGTCGGCCTGCAGACCAAAGGGTCCTGGGTTCAATTCTGGTCAAGGGTACGTACCTTGGCTGCACGCTCTTCCCCCAGCCCTGGCCCTGGTCGGGGCTCGTGTAGGAGGCAACCAATCAATGTGTTTCTTTCACATTGATGTTTCCTCTCTGTCTTTCCCTCTCTCTTCCACTCTCCCTAAAAATCAACGGAAAAATATCCTTGGGTGAGGATTAACCAAAAAATAAAAATAAAATAAAATAAAAGGAAATACTCTCCATGAGGAACTTTAAGCAGTTTATATCATCGTTCACTCAGTCTGGAAGCAGAGAGGGAGAGAGGGTCTAAGCTGAGGCTATATATACTAAGTCACTAGCAGTGGACAACTAATAGTTTGGCTGGATCAGGGCTTTGGAACAAACTAGAGGATGGCTAACAAGATCTGGAAAAAAGGGATGTGGGAAAACTTCCAAAATTAGTCCTGAGTGTGTTAAATCTGTGGTCTAAGGTGAATGTTCACCAAGAGTCCCACAAGAGGAGGCTCTCAATGACCAGGTGGAGAAGATGCCTGCTTTGTCACTCAAGAACTTGGTTGAGGGACTCATGAACAAAACAGCCAAGGCGATAGGGATGGAGTCAGTGCGCTAGTCAACAACATAAGACATCCCCCCACTGGCTCCTGCTAGGTGCCCAATCTCAGGGGAGGCAATCAACCCCAGCCCCAGTACCACACCTTAGGGACCAGCCCACAACCTCATATGAGGTAAACTGATTCCACTGGACCCCTACTGTCATGAAAAGGGCAGTGATTTTCCTTATTAGACTGAACTTGGATTTATTTAAAGTCTTACTCACTGATGTGTGTATCCATACAACATAGCTTCAAGCCAAGGAACTCATTTTTATACCTAAAGATGTTAAGGCAACAGGAAAGTACCTACAGATTCATACATTTTCCAATATAATTCATCACCCAGAACCACGTGGCTTTTAGAAAGGTATAAAGTCCCACTTAAGATTCAGTTAAGCCCATAATTGCTCGGCTCTAGTCAACAAGATGCAGTGCTATTTCACCCAGAGCCTGCAAATGTGTGGTCACTCTGTGGGTTTAGAGGTATTAATACCCAAAGGAGGAAGGTTACAGGAACTGTTATTTTCTTCTTTATATTCACTACACTTTCCAATTTCTTATCAATGGATGTATAATGACTTTTAAATGAGAAAAAACAAATATTTTTATAAAAGCATTTTAATGTCCAACTTACTTGAGCTCATTTCTTTTGCTCTTACAGTTCCCACAGTTTAGTAACTCAGGAGGTAGTGATGACGATGGTGATAACCATAAACACTTTATAGTACTTACCAATTTTCAGGTACTACTATAAACTCTTAACATATATTAACTCATCTAATACTTACATTAGTCCTTTGAGGTGTTACCATTCAAAAAGGGAATGGAGGCAGACAGGTTCAGGAAAGTGCCTGAGGTCACATAGGTAGTGAGTCAGGGAGCCGTGCTGTGAAGCCAGGTGGCCAGGCTGTACAGTCTGTCTTAACCTCTCTACTCTATGATCTCTCATACCTGCCATACTTCAAATTTGACTATCAATGCCATAAAAAGAGAACTGTCATTCCAAACTTACCTGGCTAATAATGATATTTTTGACTGTGTGTCCCAACTTCCAATGCCCCAGTTCATGGCCTAGTACAGCAAGGACCTCCTCATTATTGCATCCTTGTTTCTTATTCTGAATCAAAGAACAAATTGAAAATAAATGATCAAGAAACTTCAAAAAGTTTATACCTTTTACCCCAGTAAGAGCCCATATTTGATTCTAACTTAAGGAAGCAATCTGACTTTTGTGCGAAACTGTTCATTTACTTAACAGAACATTCTCTAAACCACTTATATTAGACACTGAGTTAAGCACCAAGGAGAGAATCCAGAACAAAACATATTTGTTGAAGTTTATATGCTGATTTTCTGAAGCTTACATCCTAATTTAGATTAGGAAAAAATATAATCTTTATCAATAGACTACATAAATAAATCATGACAATGTCATATGACAGCCATATTATAAATCCATTATTTTTTTATATATATATGGAATGCTTCACAAATTTTGTGTGTCATCTTTGCACAGGGGCCATGCTAATCTTCTCTGTATTGTTCCAATGTTAGTATATGTGCTGCCAAAGCATGCACAGAAATTTTGTTTTTAAAAAAATGGGACATGGGAAATTGCTAATGATGAATAGTGTCAAATAATAATTATATTACAGATACATTAGTAATGTTTTCAAAGATTATGTTCTGAGATGGAAAAATGATTTCATTAGGTGAAGAAAGTAGGAAACAAAACTAAAAACACTATATAATTCTAATTATGAAAAAATGTGAGCCCAGCTGACATGGCTCAGTGGTTGAGCATTGACCCATGAACCAGGAGGTCACAGTCCAATTCCCGGTCAGGGCACATGCCCAGGTTGCAAGCTTGATCCCCAGTGGGGGGCGTGTAGGAGGCAGCCGATCAATGATTTTTGTTCATCATTGATCTCTCCCTCTCTCGCTCGCTATCCCTTCCTCTCTGAAATCAATTATATATATATTTTACCCCAGTAAGAGCCCATATTTGATTCTAACTTAAGGAAGCAATCTGACTTTTGTGCGAAACTGTTCATTTACTTAACAGAACATTCTCTAAACCACTTATATTAGACACTGAGTTAAGCACCAAGGAGAGAATCCAGAACAAAACATATTTGTTGAAGTTTATATGCTGATTTTCTGAAGCTTACATCCTAATTTAGATTAGGAAAAAATATAATCTTTATCAATAGACTACATAAATAAATCATGACAATGTCATATGACAGCCATATTATAAATCCATTATTTTTTTATATATATATGGAATGCTTCACAAATTTTGTGTGTCATCTTTGCACAGGGGCCATGCTAATCTTCTCTGTATTGTTCCAATGTTAGTATATGTGCTGCCAAAGCATGCACAGAAATTTTGTTTTTAAAAATTAGGCTGTGACATGGGAAATTGCTAATGATGAATAGTGTCAAATAATAATTATATTACAGATACATTAGTAATGTTTTCAAAGATTATGTTCTGACATGGAAAAATGATTTAATTAGGTGAAGAAAGTAGGAAACAAAACTAAAAACACTATATAATTCTAATTATGAAAAAATGTGAGCCCAGCTGACATGGCTCAGTGGTTGAGCATTGACCCATGAACCAGGAGGTCACAGTCCAATTCCCGGTCAGGGCACATGCCCAGGTTGCAAGCTTGATCCCCAGTGGGGGGCGTGTAGGAGGCAGCCGATCAATGATTTTTGTTCATCATTGATCTCTCCCTCTCTCGCTCGCTATCCCTTCCTCTCTGAAATCAATTATATATATATTTTACCCCAGTAAGAGCCCATATTTGATTCTAACTTAAGGAAGCAATCTGACTTTTGTGCGAAACTGTTCATTTACTTAACAGAACATTCTCTAAACCACTTATATTAGACACTGAGTTAAGCACCAAGGAGAGAATCCAGAACAAAACATATTTGTTGAAGTTTATATGCTGATTTTCTGAAGCTTACATCCTAATTTAGATTAGGAAAAAATATAATCTTTATCAATAGACTACATAAATAAATCATGACAATGTCATATGACAGCCATATTATAAATCCATTATTTTTTTATATATATATGGAATGCTTCACAAATTTTGTGTGTCATCTTTGCACAGGGGCCATGCTAATCTTCTCTGTATTGTTCCAATGTTAGTATATGTGCTGCCAAAGCATGCACAGAAATTTTGTTTTTAAAAATTAGGCTGTGACATGGGAAATTGCTAATGATGAATAGTGTCAAATAATAATTATATTACAGATACATTAGTAATGTTTTCAAAGATTATGTTCTGACATGGAAAAATGATTTAATTAGGTGAAGAAAGTAGGAAACAAAACTAAAAACACTATATAATTCTAATTATGAAAAAATGTGAGCCCAGCTGACATGGCTCAGTGGTTGAGCATTGACCCATGAACCAGGAGGTCACAGTCCAATTCCCGGTCAGGGCACATGCCCAGGTTGCAAGCTTGATCCCCAGTGGGGGGCGTGCAGGAGGCAGCCGATCAATGATTTTTGTTCATCATTGATCTCTCCCTCTCTCGCTCGCTATCCCTTCCTCTCTGAAATCAATTATATATATATTTTACCCCAGTAAGAGCCCATATTTGATTCTAACTTAAGGAAGCAATCTGACTTTTGTGCGAAACTGTTCATTTACTTAACAGAACATTCTCTAAACCACTTATATTAGACACTGAGTTAAGCACCAAGGAGAGAATCCAGAACAAAACATATTTGTTGAAGTTTATATGCTGATTTTCTGAAGCTTACATCCTAATTTAGATTAGGAAAAAATATAATCTTTATCAATAGACTACATAAATAAATCATGACAATGTCATATGACAGCCATATTATAAATCCATTATTTTTTTATATATATATGGAATGCTTCACAAATTTTGTGTGTCATCTTTGCACAGGGGCCATGCTAATCTTCTCTGTATTGTTCCACCGACAGGGGGGGGGGGGGTGCCTTTTTTTTGTAAACACACTTGTCTTCTTGCTTTATTGACTCTTCAACAGAGAGAAACAGATGTTTTCCAGATTCAAGCCTTAAGAAGCTACCACGATACACTGAGGGCAGTAGCTGTTTGACGCCCTGCATTTGGAAATAATGTGGTTAATGTTTCCTCCAGGGAACCAGTAAGTTGTTTAAAAGCCAAGCTGAGTGTTTCAAGTGACTGAAGTGACCACAATGTGAAATCCCATGGCACTTGTCCCGAAACCCCATCTCCTCCAGTTACAGAGCAGATCCTGTCCCTTGTCACCTCATGGGCCAGAGGGCGCCCATGCACAGCCCTCCCTAGTTAGGGCATTGCCATTGCTCTGTCTGGTCCTCACAGAGCCCCGAGAGCGGGTTTGTGCTGTCGCAGTGCTCCCCACCTTCACGCCCCCGACCCCCGTAGCTGAGGAGACCTGGGGAGGGAGTCGTGCCCCAGGTCACACAGCGTGGACTCAGGAGGCAGAGCTGGCCTCCACGCGTTCACACGCCTTCTTCTTCTCGCTAGTGTTTAGTGAGTGGCCACAGCAGCTCTTTCAATAGAAGTCTTACGTAAGGAAATGTCTATTCCAGGGAAAGGAAGCCTTACGCAATGAGGTGCCTGCTTCCTGGAGGCATTTCGCCCCAGCTCCTCCCCTCCCCTGGCCCTGTGGAGAGGCACTGAGCCTTCAGGCGGCTGTGGCCAAAGCACGCGTGGGCCTGTGCCGAGTCTCCCCCGCCTCTGGGTGGCGGTAAATCTGTCGTTTTTGTAAGTGGCAGGAAGCAGTTGGCTTGCCTGCGACTCTCCTGTGTGTGCCGTTGAAATCAGATGCAGGACTGAGGCAGAGAGAAGGTTTGGATATCAGGCCGTGTCTCTTCTCTCTGCTGCTCCCGGAAGCTTAAAGGGCAACCTGTATTTCTCAGAGGCTTACGATGCTTCCCAGGAGGACAAGAGTCAATGCCAAAGCCCTTACCTGGTGTGTAAGCAGGGAGCCCAGTTTTCTTAATTTTTGTCCATGTCAACACGCAAGGCCTCAGGCCCATGCATTGCATCCAACAAACGCTGAGTGCCTACTGCATGCCAGGACCAGGCAGACACAGGGACGACAGCTGTCACTCACATGGACTCATCAGCGCCCTCCCTCGTGGACCATAGATTCTGTGGAGAGGCTATCCTTAGAGAAACAATATCATCAACAACAAATATTATAACTTAACAAGTACAATGGACCTTTGAACAGCATGGGTTTGAACTGCTGGGTCCACACAGATATTTTTCAATAAAAACCTGTATTATTTTCCATCCGAGGCTGGGAATCTGGGGCTGCAGCGGGCCGGCTGTGCGCATTGATTTATGCCATTTTATATGGGGGCCTTGAACATCTTTGAATTTTGGTATCAGTAGGATGGGGGCTGGGGTGGGACAGGAACCAATCGCCTGTGGTTACCCAGGTACACGTGTAGTTAAGTGTTTAGGGAGTCAAAAGCTATCCGTGGATTTTGACTGCAGGGGTCAGTGCCCCAAGCCCAGCACTGTTCAGGAGTCGGCTGTACTGAGAAGGAGCAGAGCAAGGAGTGGAATGGTCCTAACGAGGGGTGAGGGGACTGCTATTGCTGCGCGGGGTTAGGGCAGGCAGTCTGAGCAGGGGCAGCACTGAGACAGCAGCCCTGCGAGGAGAAGGTGGGACGTGCTGGCAGAGGGACTGGCTGAGCGGAAGCAGGGAAGTGAAGGAAGGGTCCGTGGACCTGGTGAGGCTGGAGGCCAGGAGTGGCTCCATCATGTGGGGACTTAGAGGCCATGATGAGGATCGTGGTTTTTATTGAAGGCAAAGGAAAGGCCATTGAAGGACTTCAAGAAGGAATGACCAGATCTGACTTAAATTCTAAGACAATCACTAGCTGTTGGGTGGAGAATTGACTGGGGAGAGGAAAGAGTGGGAGGTGAGGGAGGCCAATTAGGAAGCTCTGTGCTGTTTCAGGGAGGTGAGTGGGCAAGGCAGCAGCAGTGCAGGCGACACTAGGAATGCACATCTGTGTGGGGAGGAACTAGAGGATGACAGAGAAGGAGGGATTGGCCCACGAGGCGTGGTCATCCGGGAGAATAGAGGTTTAA